CCACGTTCCTTTAAAAATGAATATATAAATAAATAACAGACATCGAAGACATGGAATGCACAAAGTATTAATGAGTTTACCAGCGTATTGCTTGATTTACCAGTAGCTATCTTGTTTCCTCGGGATTTTGTTGTGTGGATGGGGATGGGACTGGAGATAGCTACTTATATGATAGTTTACTAATCTGCTGATGTTCCTGATCTTCCTACAATCGTCATCCCTTTCCTTCCAAGGAATTGGCACGTTCACGATAATTTAGTCATTAGAGAGAGTTAGCGTCGCATTTACGTGAAACGGCAAGCGTCAGCTTGCTCCTCATGTCGCACGTAAAATAGCGTGAACCTTGCTTCTTTAGCTTCGCGTGAGCTCACGTCATGGTGGATTTGAAGACGGCCTTTTATGACTTTCAAGGAATAGTATGGTGCCCTTTCTCCGGATATTAACTTCTAATTTGTGCTATAAAAAGTAAAGAAAATCTTACGTAAACGGCAAATGCGAAACAGGTTACGTTCACGTAGAAATGGGAAAGCGCAACCGGCAAACGTGAAAAAAAGCGGGGAAAAAAAAGATCACATGGTCACTCCTGTCTTGCGCGTTTCTCACAAACGCGGTGCTCAATAAAGCTCTTTGATTACTATATGAGAGAAGGAAGAATGAATTAAATTGGTCACCGCTATTGACACAGGGCGATGAACTGCATTCGTTTATATCAACGTCGCACTGTAGTCCAGAGTAACCAGCTACACAACTGCAGGTGTATCCACTGACTTGATCTGTACAATTTCCTGGAAGGGGAAAATTTTTCTTTAATATAGTATTAAAAGAACTTTGCATCGTGATAAGAAACCAATCAGACTATCTCATAGTTTAACCCCTACATTTACTACCACATAAATTAGTCATTCCAAGATAAATAAACTGTCAAAATTATGAAAGACCCTACCGTTGACACAGGGCGATGACTGACAATAATCAATGTCAACGTCACAATTTCTCCCCTCAAACCCAACATCACAGGAACATGTGTAGTTGTTCACTTCATCAATGCACTGACCTGCAAGAGTGGAATAAGTAAATCCATAAGTCTATATACCACGATGCCTTACTCATACAAAGATCTGTACTATTGTCGGTTTACTGACATTGTTAAAGGAGTAATGTAATACCAACAGAAAAGGCCATGATACGAGAACCAATTGACCAATAACCAGATGTCTTTGCTTGATTTTAAGTAATTCAGGCTCTCAGTGGGTTAAAATCTTTGCTATGAGTCTACCTGGATTTTAAGTTGAGAAATATTCAAAACATAAGTTCAAATGCTAGTAGATGGGTCAATGGTGTATTTGCAGTTGTTGCGATCGCAAAAAGGCACTGAAACAGCCTATTAAAAACAATTTAACCTCCTACTCGCTGGTCGACAACGTGACAAAAGGTAGTAATCGATTTTTCAGACTCGTAACTATCATTGTTAAAGACAAATGAAAGCAAATGAAAGGAGAATAAGGCTGAATAAACTAATCATTAACTAGAATTCCATGTCGCTGCCTTTGATAACAAAAATATTAATAAAAAAAACCAAAACGCAAGAATCGATATTCTGTCCTGTACCTCGCAAACAAGGATATGATTTACACTCATCAATATCAGTGCTGCAGTATGGTCCTGTAAATCCGGGTGAGCAGCTGCACTCGTACAGGCCTCGCCCGCGAGGCGTCCGAGGAACGCATCGGCCACCGTTGAGGCAGGGACAGACGTTAACAATTACAGATATGTTCAAAGTGGACGACGCTTGACAGGCATCCGTGGCTCTGAAGAAAAACCGAGTTGTTTTGTTTGTTGTGACGATCCAAAATAAGATGTTGTTCTGCACCAGTGCATCCGGGGGACTTCCGTCCGTGAGAGACACGGTGACAGGCATCCCTTAAGGATCTGTTACTTCTATCGGCAGTTCCAGACTTTCTCCGTATAGCACGTAGTAAACGATTGTTGACGTGACATTGGGTGGGTGATTTACTGAAAGAATTGGAAAATTATCATTATTATTACCATTATTATCATCATTATTACATAGAATCATTTTATTGACTACTTATTCTTTAAATCCTGATCTTTAAAGATGAAACCTCAGACATTAATCGAGATACTTGCGAGTGCCGTGGCAGTGGTCTAATGGTTCAAAGGGTAATATGTCACTTCAGTACAAACTGACATGTTGGGTTGATAGGCATCTCGTGAAATTGTCTAGATTGACAACTCAGCAGTTTCTACCGATTCTAAAGGAAAATTTCTTAAAACCTTGCTTTTCCGACAGATTTGATGTAACAGAAGTTTCCCCTTAGAGGAGATGCTGAAGCTGACTAACAACGCTGATTTATTTAGTACTCTGGATGTTAAGACGATTGGCTCGATCAAGAGTCTTCTGACTTGACGTAATGTGACATTTCAAACAACGACGCCAGCTGATTGTTAACTATCAACGTATCATTTGGATATATCAACAAAGTTGAAATGGTAAATTGGCCATCGTAACGATTACAAAAGATGACGTTTCTAGCGTTAGCCTTCGTCGGAGCGAAGGGATAACGCTCGAAACGTCAGCTTTTGTAATCGTTGCGGTGGCCAATTTACCATTTCAACTTTGTTGATATATCCAAATTATTTCGTTACTCCCACCGACGCAGCCCCAAACAGTTTCTTTCGAAACTATCAGCCTTTATCAACATACCAATTGACTGACTTATTGAATAACTGAGCCAGCGAATCAGCCAATTGATAAATTGATTGTTGAATGGATGGACGGATTGGATTTCAACACAAACCCACCGAAAAAAAAAGGGGGGGTATTGACTTGGTAGAAGCCCAACAGCCACGCGACACGGCTTGATACATATACATTGTGAATGTCTTCATTCGTCAACGTTACCTTGTCGTTTAGACCACCTGTTTGTA